TGCATTCAGGGATGATGTCACGAGTTAAAGCCTCCGGCACAATTTTGGCCCGGAATAAAAGGCCGATAGGGTACCGACGCAGGTATTTTTGTGCAGATGGAACACGTACCGGTAGTTGACAATTCTGCCAATTTACTGGTACCAATAACAAAATAACACTAATAATAATAACAATAGTCAGTTCTTAGACAGCGCATATTACGGAATGTCTCAGTTATTATCATTATTCCTGCACATTTGGAAACTGGGAACCTGACGACATTTCTAAATGCCCTCAACCGGCCCAAGGGTGAGCTCTTACAAAAGCTTCTGACACTCAATTTTTATGAGGAGTCCAATGTTGCCAGAGATAATATGGATTTGCCCACATGTATGCTCACAAAATGTTTGAAAAAAAGTTTTCTAAAACACAAACAGTAACCTTATGCCTCCATGCTTTGGTCCTGTGGTTAGTTTTTGAAATGCTAGAAAAAATATTTAAAAACCCTTCTGTTCTTCAACAAACAAACATATCTATCTTTTTATAACGGGTGATTTTTTGGCAAATAAACCAATTAAAACCATCATTTTGATCAAGGTATGTGTCATTAACAGCCCCTACCGAACTTGCTCGATCTGACTGATCTACGTGTAGATCACACTCTCGCGGCAGGGCCTCGCACAATTTACTCTCCTTGCTGGAAGAATGCCTTCTCCTCAGTAGTTTCTGGGTCAAGCTGGCCTTCCTCTTCCGTGACACCTCCCTGGGCTGTGGCTCTTCTGTCTTGTTCACCATGTTCCCCTGGTTCGTCTTTGGCGTTTGATGTTGCCTCCATGCAGGATACATTGCCAAGTTTACATGTACATGTAAGTACCCAATCAGGATCCTCTCCAAGAGCAAGGCCAAAACGCCCTAGGGCTGGTACTACAGCCAGTTTTAAGCTTACAGTTTTTTTCAAAAAGGTCCACGTTTTAAGACGTACATGAGACCAGTGCCTAACTCCATATGCACCAAAAAACTGGGGCACTTTGCTGCGTCCATTTTAGGGTTGAAAGCAGTGCACAAGCTGTATGTTTTCGGAGCATTTGATGGAATGAAAGATCAGTCGTTTTACAAATTGCCACCTCTTGGTAACAGGTTGCCAGTGGATCCACAGGCCATGTGCAAGTACTGTACATGTACCAGTGTGGGGAAGTCTTGAAAAAGTTTCTCATGTGGCAGGTCTACCATCACTGCGAACTTCGTCAGTTTGAGCTTCCCATCCAATGAATGAACAACGTCCACAATGACTGAGCAAAAGCTGGAGTCAACAAGTTCTCAGCCAGACACCTGGTAATACCAGAGGAGATCAAACCTGGCCAAGGTGCCAAAATCTCCATACTCTGGCAACATCAATTGATCTGGAAGCCAAATTCCATTCATCAAAACTACGGCTCCCAGCACACAATCTTACACAAAGTGTGCCTGTCTACCACCACCTCAGAAGTTGATGATCTCATAAACGCACGACCGCTACAAGAGATAACTCTTCTACTGTGGGGGGGGAGATTAGAGGCAGTGACTGGAACCTAAACATACATGTAATGCTAGCAAAAGCCAATTGATTGTTCTCCATCAGCTTATCAATTTTCAAACAAGCTGAGCACATCTGACAAATTGAATATGCCCAAAATACAGTACCTGGGTACATCCACTTGTGCTAAACTGGTGCCTACCTTTGTTCTGCACTTGGACTTGTGAACTCATTCAGACAGCACAAGCGGTACTCGACCTAAGTGCCAGTTTCTGCCGAGCCCAACTTCCCTTAATCATGCGTACCACTGAGAAACCCTGTACAGAGAATTCTCATATGAATTGTTCCACAGAGCTTCTGAGGTATTAAGAATACATGTACATGTACATTACTCGTACATGGACAGAAAATGGTATCATAGCACTAGCCTCTACTGTGCAGTAATATCAAAAGCCCAACCAAAAAGATTTGGTTGGAGCCCTCCAATACTTGTTTGTACAACTGTTTCTCTGTTTAAAGAAACAGTTGTACATGTAACTCATTATGCATGTACATACATGTACATGCATGTATATGCATCTACTCATAAATCTTGATTCGGTAAATACAATATCAACCACTCAAAACAGAGCCCTGGTCACAAAGCACTGACACTAACATTAGACGAGACACACCATTTTGGCTCTGACCATGCAGTCATGTAGCTGTCAGCATGTATGTACATGTAGGTACTGGCTCTGTATACCTACAGTATCCTACACCTGTGGGAAAAGCCAATGATTTGGACCAAATGACCACAGTCTTCAGGCTTAGAACAGATGAAAGGGCAACAGAAAGGTGTCTGTCTCAATCCTTTGAAAGGACGGAAACTGCTAACCTGTGCGTACCAGAACTTGCAGAATACACGACAAGAAGTGACTGAACATTAGTGTTTTTATCGCTAAACACTTGGGACATGCACAGAAGTTCACCCTTGTATCACAACTACTCTCCTCCGTCTGCTTGTGCATCAGAGTTCCATATACATGTACAGGTACTGCTATTTGTATGATTAATAAGATAGCACTGACAAACTGTGGAGTGAACAAGTGGAACCTAAAACAAGAACCCTGCTGTAATAGCAAGCAAGAAAAGAAATGACAGGTGTTTCTGTTTACTGCTTACCAGTAACTAAAATCTTCCACAGCTGGATTCATCTTGAGTTACATGTAGGCTGAAGCCAGGAGTCACATGCACACATATCCATTGGAAGCGGCCGAAGCTGCTAGCCAATAGCGGCACATGTGATTCCCCACCATACGGTAGCTACATACGTGTCACATGAGGTTGGGCCGGTCGTTTTATTTTCTTTTGGGGGGAGGGGGTGATTTTTGTTACTTTGTTCTTTTATTGATCAAGGTGTGGTCTACCGGTATGTGAGTAGTCAAACCACCTACATGTACCGGTACAAAAAAATTAAATTTGCACCTTCACATGTACCAGCAAAGTACATGTACACATGGGTCTGATGTTGTAGCAGCATATACATGCATGCACACTGTAGCACAACTTTTATACATGTAAGTGGAATGAATACACTGTACATACACTATATATAACATGTACATGTATGCTAGTGACTAGCACATTGAATTGAAGTCATAAAAAGCATTATTATGCAAGCGCAAGATTTTATTACCTTAACTGGATAATATTTATTATCAAGGGACCATGCATAAGTGTACATACATGTATATGTATGTACTGGTACATGTACATGGGGCATGCTTTTGGAGGTATACATGTACATGTGTTAATTTATACTAAATTAAAACTGCTGCACCAACATGCCTTCCTCTGATATCCTCAAGCAGTCTTGAGCAAGAAGCAGTGCATGGACATGTAGATTACATGTATTGGTACATGTACATGCCGCTATGTGTATCACCCTTCTCAATATTGTATCATTAGCACTCAAGGTCAGCCAGTGATAAAACAAAGAAATGATGAGCTATTACACAGGTATTTATCAATATCTACACTGAGGCCATATGGCTATGGGGAATACCAGCACGCCCCCTTGAACATGTTGCAAGATACACGTACCAGTAGCAGCACACGTGCCACTGCTTTTAAGCAAATACATTCCTGAAATCATAAAGTAACCACTGACCTTTATCATTTCAGCAAACTCTGAAGTTTTGTTGAATACAAAAGAGTCATTTAGTATTTTTATACGGGCAGCCTTTACCACTGATTTCATGGCATGTTATTCTTGCCGGAAGCTATCAGTACCTGATCCCTCCCAAATCTTCCTTCTCGAGACACTGTGCACAGGAGGACCAACTCTATGGCTGAGTTTGAGCGGCTTGTTCCCGTTTGTTCACGAACAGCTCCATTTGTTGTTCGTGGGTCGGCCGCTCGAACGCTGGGAACAAACAACCGGTTATCACAAGCAACATAGCGGCGTCCACGTACGTTATTCGAGAGTTAAGGTTTGGATGGGCTGAATTCTTTTCCATATATGAACAGGAACATTCATTTCTGTGTTACAGAAAATAATTAATGTTAATTTTGCAAAACTTCCCATTGTCTACATGATCTATGGCTTTGGAAGCCATCTCTCTACTTTTTGCAGCTGTTCATAAATCAAAATCTCACGAGTTTTTCCGTGTGTTCCTGTAAAACCCTGACCAGGAAGTGGTGTGTGATCCTGTTCCGAGAACAGTGTTCTTGAGTCGTGTTCCCGCCGTTCGAGCGCAAGAACAAGAAACCCGTGTCAAGAACAGGCCGCCCAAACTCGACCTACCAGTACTTGTACGGGTTCATGTACATGTACATGTATGGAACTGGGTCCTCCATTCCTCGATCCTTCAAAATCCTCCAATTCCCCCCAAGTGAAGTTTGAAATTTCAGTGAGAATTAGGTTTAAACGTTCAAACATTATGAGCAAACCAAATAAATACTGCCATCTAGCCCACTTACATAGTAATGGTTGCACTTTTGAAACTTTGGCATGCAGCGAAAGAATAATTGAGTCCCCTAATGTGGCACACTCAAACTGTTTGCCAGACATCTTTGTTGAAAAACCTGAAATTCATTCAATTAAATACTGCTGCTTTAACCTTCGCGACGCACGGTGTTCAACCTTGGTGAACAATTTCAGTGTCATAAAATTGAGTCCAAAAATTAAAAAAAAATTGGCTTCCAGAAACTGGGCACAAATTCAGCGTGTTCCCTAATGTGCCGCTCTTGAACAAATCTTGAAGAAGCCCACGTTAACATTAAATCGGTTCTTCGAAGTTAATAAAATCTAGTAAATCATTATTATATCCACTCACACACCCAACTACATGGACAAGTTTGGAACAAATATTTACAAAATTTTGGGCATGTTTCAAAAGAGTTCATTTTGCACTTTGGAAAAATAATAAAATAACTTTAAAAGCACGTTGAGCAATGGTGCCATGTACATGTACTGTGGTTATTATTACTCTGAAAAGAGAGAGAGAAAATAAATTCTCTTACCCTGGCAGGTTGTGAATGCTTGAGAATTGTTTCCTCCAGTGCTGTGACCCATTGCACCCTCTCGTCTGCATGTTGAGCTGAATGGAAACGTGCAAACAATAATGGAGTCACACAAACTATCAATTTGTGTCTATGCCTTAAACTATTACTTGCTGCACCCTCTAGAATATTCCAGAATTGGTTGGCACTAGGATGCTACTCTGCATGAACATGTGCACCTGTAAGTCAATAGCTTGTTACGGATGAAGGGGCAGACTACAGGGAGAAATATGGCTATGGCCGTCAATGTATAAATAACCCCTGAAGGTGTACAAGAGGGACACCAGTCCATGGGTACCTTGAAAATGGAAGGTCTTCTGGTCACAGGTGATGGTGAAGGTGGAATCATCCTGGTCATCAATACCTATCAGTGCCCCCTGCAGGAAACAAGAACGCAGTTGTTATTAATCAAGAGCAATCTACAAAACAAGACTTACACATTAATTACCGGTACCTCAGTGTTGATAATTAATGCTAATGATCTCCATTTCAAAGATGTGATCTACACGTTCAATGACGTGTATGCCAAGTCATCGGTAAGTCAAGCCAAGGAACTAAGGCAAGGGATTTATTTGCTACAGTTCATTTGAGGAGCTTGCGACTTGACAGGACGAAAGACTTGTGAATTGGCTTGTGCTTGACTAGTGATGTCTTGACTTAGTTACGGCACAGGTACACGTAATACATGTGGCCCTATACTGTGGCTCATAGACTGATACGGAGGTACATGAAGTCCAGTAAATATGAGCCACATTATAGGGCTCATGTATTCATAAGGTGGAGACGGACATGGATGGGTGTTTTTCTCCACGTTCATCGACACACCTGCAACCAGGAGATGGTTTACTTTACCACATGTATAACATCTACACACATGTAAGACATTTCCGCTTTGTTTTACATGTACATGCAGTTCAACAGTACATGTACCGGTACATATGTACATGTACTATGTAGATGCATGAATGTCTAGAACATTCCTCCACTCAAATGGCTGCAACACTATTTTGTTTGGGCACCAACCTACCTCTTGCTCCTCCTCCATCCCATCTGGAATAACTACATAATCCATGTAAAGCTGCTCTCCAGAATCCTCGGCCATTAACTTCCTGTTCCCTAGGACGTTCCTATACACCATGCTAAGCAGTGTCAAGGCTAACTTTGTCTCTTGGCTATTTGGCTACACCCTGTGCCATGGACTACTGGTTTGCTTCTAAACCCTCCATGCTTTAGGAAGACAAATCCATTCATCAGACTCTACACCGTGGAGCTCAATGCAGACCTAACAATAGGCACATACATGTAGTAGCCAGCTGCAGAAAGCTAGTGCCTCGTGTACAGTACCGATACAATAGCTGCAGATTGACATTTCACTTAATGACATTGTGATACACCTGCTGTCCTGGTGTACATGATGCACAGTTAGTCAGACAACATGCACAGTGTACATGTATCAGCCCCATGCATAATACATGTAGACGCCTACATGTCCATTGGTTCGCTGCAAAGGGATAAGATATCAAAGGCAGGTAATAATGACTTCTACACGTACATACCGTTACATGTATGCGTGCAGTGGCTGTGAATGCCACAGAAGTGCTGGTAGGCAAAAGACATGTAAATGTACATGTATATACCGGTGCGTGTATTATTCTGACAGTCATTATTAGAAGTGCTCTTATTTCAGGAATGAACGTGTAATCTACATGTACATGGACTGTGTCAACAGCGTGTACAGTGTGCGTGTATGCTCAGCTGAATTTTGTTTTCTGTTTTTTCCTAGTCACCACTGTGCACATGTACTGTATGTACATGTACATGTACCAGCATAAAACAAAAGGCAAATTTTCAACTCGGCCATGAGCCTTCATCTACTTGTATTTACAAGTGTCCAGCACCTACCCCAGCTGGGCATGCAATATACTGTACTGTGAATTCACATACACATGTCCATGTATGAGCACAGCTTGCATTTTTGTGGCCAGCAAACTACTAGTAAATAAGAGTACATGTAGAGTGTTTAGTTCCTCGAGCAGAGATAACAAAGCCTAGGGGATGTGCTTAAAGCCCAGAGAGGGAACAAAGGGGAGGCATGATCTCCATTTGAAGCAAGATATGGGATGGAGAGAACCCCCCCCTGCCTTTGTGTTGGTCATTGTTTGATCGGAATCTCAGGAATTCTTTACAGACTTCTGGGGGGGGATGTGTTAGTTAACAATAGTCTAGAGTGTGTATAGGGATTGGACAGGTAAGGGGGGTACCCCTCTGTTGCATATCTTGCCTGGTATAATGATCTCAGCCACAGGAGGACAAAAGGGAAGGATCCTAAGAAGGTCTAAGCCAAAGAGGGTTTAACTGCACTGATGGGATTCTCCACAAGGGAACAAGTCCAGATACATGTAGAGTAAATGTGTCAAAAGATTTGGAGTGTAACGAAGGTAGTGATCTGAAACAGGTGAAGGGGGGGCGTGGGATAAGGGCTGACAGTAGCGCTGATAGTAAAACTCTTCCAAATTATCTTCACAATTTGTGTAGACAATATTTAATACTAAATTGACAGGTTTAGCCAAAACTTCTGTTACTGACAGATAGCAGAATAAATTACTTTAAAACTTCTGTTACTGAAAGATAGCAGAATAAATTACTTGATGGAAGTAATTAAAATCACTATTATCCTTCTGTTTCTAAAAAAATCAGCATGGTTTCAACAGCTAATGAATTTTGAGGGGTTTTTTGGCAACCCAATTTACCATGTACTGCAATTTACCACTAACATTCAAAAGGAAACCAAAAAGAGATTCCCCAACCGAACATTTTGTTCAAAAAAGGTTAAAACCATTGCACATACCAGGGATACCACTACAAGCATTCAATCTTGACCAAGTTGTCCTTTTTCTACTTACTGAATACAGGGAAAGATCTAGCATAAAGTGGTCTTGAAAAACATACCAGAAATGCAGAACCACATTTAGTGCCTACTTCCAGGCACAAGGAAAAGGGTACGGAAACTAAGCATTTTCAGGAATTAAGCCAACTTTGACACTTTACAACATTGTTTGCAATTTGAGACTATGAGAAGGCCACCAAACAATCAGCTCTAACAGAGCAAGGAACAAGTAAATACACTGTATATTTCTAATATTAAAAAAAACAATAAACTGTTTTTCATCGATAATTACCCTCAGTCTCACACAGCCTCTTCTTGATCCTCTCATCATCTTCTCCTTTGACTGGGAGGAAAAACAAACAAAACAACACACAGAATTACAAATTGGGAGTTTTCAGCCAGTTTCACGTACAGTGTACAGGGTGTAGTCTGCAAGGGTTGAAACACTAGAGAATGCTGAGAATCAGGATTGTTTTGAACGGCTCAACTTGAATCCCATTCAAGTCCAGTCATTCAATATTCTAGGGGCCTATTCATCAAACAGCTGAATTGAGCTTCAATTTGGTTTAAAAAAAGACAAAAGTGCTCTGATTCTTAATTCACATGAAAGGATAGGTAGGGAAACAGGAAGCAAAACTTTTTTTGCCAGAGCAGTATTTTTTCTTGGCAGCTGTATGAAATTCAGTCCTTTTTGGGGGTGGGGTACATGTATTTTTCTCATTCGCTTTAATTCAGCATGTGAACTACATGTACATGTATGTATGTCATCACAGCAACACAATCCAAATGTATAGTTACTGGCACCTCGGCTGTTCAAGAATAATAGATAACGATACATTACTACACGTTTTCTTCTAAAGTTGCGAGTAAATTCAGCAGCCAATCATGAGACCTTTTTCTGTTGACTAAAAAACTTTCAATAAAAATGTTGGATTGTACATGTAATTACATCTCTAACTTGCTTTTCCAACAGCCACAAAACTCTCTTTTTAGACTCCATGTCATAAGGAAGTGAACACGGTGAAGGAGAAAACAGCTTGGAAACCAAATAAGAGTGCACATTTGTTGGAAGGACTGACCCAAAATACAAGTGACCATTTTCAAATGTTACAGTATAGCATGAAGGGAATATAACAAATCCATCAGCGACTGGGTAGAAGACTAGTAGTATACTCGGTTTCTATACTATCGCGGTACTATATTATCGTGGTATCAAAAATTTTGAGTTTTGCATTGCCAGTGAGTTCCTAATTAAATTATGGCCTAAATTTGAACATTTTCCTTCACTGTGTCAGTCATTACTTACCGTCTATCTCTTTAAAACTTATACTTAACGTCACCCTACCCTTGGATATCTGTTGCTGGGTTCCCACATGTCACTTCCGAAATAGTCAAAGGTGTCCAAGACAGATTTTAACGGTAAAAGTGTCCCCTTTTTTTTGGAGTCAAAATAGGGGCTTCTGTGCTCCCCTCCGGGACAATAAATAGTGAATAATTACGTCGGCATTAATGTCTCAATTTGTTTTGGCTTTTCTTATACAACTAAAGAATTTTGCAAGGGATATTTAGAATTTCTAACATTAACTTTGAATGACATACATGTAGTTCATGTAGCGCATGGCTAATGACTTGAATGAGACGGTTATAACTTTCGGGGAATTAGAACTCAGAAAGCAGACATTTTTAACAAGTGTTTCAGACATCTTTAAAAGAATGAGTCAACCAAGAAAATGAAATTTGCGATACCAGCATGTTTATTATTCCTTCCGCAGACACCAATTTACGTAATAACAATTAAGTTGCTGCTGCATCTAAGATTGGGGTAAAAAAGTTTTGGTGGATACGGACAAAGATTGCAGCCTGTCCACAACTCCCTACAGGCAGTCTCAACAGAAAGTGTTCATGGTGCAACAGCGCGCTCATGTGCGCTGTTACCCAATGGCTGTTGCTTTTCGTTCCTGGCATTCCAGCATAAATAATGAGGAGCCCTGTGATTGGTCACTGTGACCTCCAGCAAGCCGCAACCAACTGCCATTTCAACCAGTGCCGCTAAAAATTACATACACACCCACAGAAAGCAGCTGCAGCCAATTTCCATGTCTTGTGTGTCGATCGCAGCCATAGTCACCTATTTGGTCACGGCTTGTCTTCGTAAGTACACATGTGAACGTGTGCACTTTTTGAAAATCAGCATGATTTGGGCCATTTTTTTCTTGGTCACATGTTGGTCACAACATGGTCACAAGATACGGTATGTAAGCTAGATTGTAGGTCAACTCGCCCCCTGGCCGACTTGCCCCTTACCAGCTCGCCTCTTACCAACTCGCCCCCTGACCGACTTGCCCCCTCGCCGACTCG